TGTGTGTGTGTGTGTGTGTGTGTGTGTGTGTGTATTGCATTATCATCATGTCAATGGATGCTTATTTTGTACATATATGAATTAGTAATAAATTTTTCCTGAAGAAACAACACAAGGGTACTGAAGTACRGTCTAGAAAAAGTGCAGGACAAAAAATCACATGTGCACTCATTTAATTGAGTCAATGTATCTGGCGCTTTCTGCTGTCAGAAAGTTTTTTGCACATCATTCAAAAATTGACCAAGTTGGCTGATTCATATCGTTCTCATCATTTCTCAATTTAAGATCTTAGTCTAAAGTCTGGGTTAAAAGGCAACATCAACATGCAATCCTTCAATGAATGTTAGGTTTATAATGATTTTTTTCTCAGTTATTTTGGCGACTGCATAAAAGTGTACTAAATGTAAATAAACTATTCTGCAAAAATAAATAAAAAGAACCACGGGAACAACTTGCCTTTTAAAGCTGATATGCATTTTGTAATGTGGATAAAAGGTTTGGTAACCTGAGTTTGATTAGCCACCCGGTTACACCGGCTTGCTTGCACAAATTCGTGTGTTTGTGAGAAGTAGCCGTATCACATTGCCAAGAGGCAGACTGCGGTTTCCACGGCCAGAGATAAGCTGCTAAGCTGCAGATGAAAGTGTGTATTTATGTTGAGAGTGTGACGTGGTGAGCAGCTGGCTGTTGTCAGACAGTTTTAGGAGCCTCCCAGGACTCCTGTGGTTGAAGCAAAAGTGGAGCTGCAACTGGAGGTGCATCTTCTTCAATGGGCTGATGGAAATAACAAAGTAACATGAAGTGCATGAGGAGAACAAACATTTTCAGACTCAAAACCCTGCAAAATGTTGACAGTGATATGCGCCRTGCAATGTGAGCACAAATAATCATAATGAGTAGTTACCATCCGGTTTATAAAGGAACTGGTTCATATTTTAATTAAAAGAGATTTCCCTTGGCAAGGATCTGTTATCCAATAAACAACGCATTTAATCAAATATAATCTAATATAAAGTAAACAAGGTAGTGAAAAAACATTAGATAATGGTGGAGGGAAGGCTGAGAACTAGAGTTAAACGAGTGACAAATGGAAGCGAGTCTACGTCAGAGAAAATTAACCTTATAATATTCCCTGAGCTGAGTGGGACAGTCTGGTGAAAAACAGACAAACCTTTAATTATAAATAAGTTGTATTCTTTCTACATGATGCTGGTCCAGTCTACAGTAGTTACATAAAATTTAAACAAATGTTGTTATATGGGCCTTTCAAAGAAAGTACTGGATAAGATGGAATAACATGAAAAACTGAATGAATACTGACATTTTTTACAACAGGACAGAGGATGGAGAATCTAAAAAATTTCGAGCGATGTTGGTAAAAAAAAAATGCACTGAAGCCTTTCTAATTTAAGATGTGTGCACATAATCTGCCAAAACAATAGAGAAAAAAAACGTTCTTGTTAACATTAACTATAACAAAAAAAAAAGAGTAACTCATTTCACGTGTGACAGTGCCGAGCTTCTGAAGGAGAATTAGCTTTAGAGAACAGGCTTTTAAATGAGCTGACCCGTAAATGTAAGTCTAAGTAAAGCATTTACAAACAACTGCTTTGCTAGTTCTTCGACGGGGCCGAGATGCCCTCGATGGAATGTGTCTGAAGCTTCCAGTGGGGAAAGGCATTAAAAGAGACATGTCGTGCTTTTAAATCCTTCTTTTTCTTATTTAAATCAGTCAGTTGGGGTCTATATAAAGTGGAACTGCAATGCTTTGGTCTGAATTCCTCATTATTGTAACTCCACAAGCCTCTCTTTCACCCCTTTTCTGAGGTGTGTTTCAAAGCAACTTAAAAAGAAAAAAAATGTATAGGCCTTCTGGACGGGTTCTTCTYTAATGAAACGTTTCGTCTCTCCTCCAAGAGACTTCTTCAGTCTGAGAGTTTCAGGCAAAATTCAGGCTTTTAAGCCCTGCCTCCATGTGACTGATACTCACATCACATGGCTATCGTTGACACCTAATTAACACCTATTGTTAACAGGGGTGGAGTGATACTGGCAATAGCCGCGCTGTAGGAGGGGGACAACTGAAAGCGGAGGCCTCCACCTCTGTTTAATGATGGACGGTCTTTCTTCACAAAAATGGCTTCTTTTACTCCTCTCTCAAACCAACGTTCCTCTCTATCAAGAATGAGAACATCCTCATCTCTGAAAGCGTGACCGCTGTTGCGGTTGTACGTTGCGGGTGTTTCGGAGAAACTGAGACGTTTATTTTCTAAACATGGTGTCCCAGTGGCTTTCAAACCCCAAAACACATTACGGCAAAGGCTGGTTCACCCCAAAGATCCGGTGCCCCGGCACAAACAGAGCAATGTTGTATATGCTGTTAAGTGCCAGGAGGACTGCGACCAGTTATACATCGGGGAAACAAAGCAGCCACTGTTCAAAAGAATGTCCCAACACAGACGAGCTAATTCTAATGGCCAGAACTCTGCAGTTTTCACTCATTTWCAGGCCAGCGGTCACTCTTTCAGAGATGAGGATGTTCTCATTCTTGATAGAGAGGAACGTTGGTTTGAGAGGAGTAAAAGAAGACATTTTTGTGAAGAAAGACCGTCCATCATTAAACAGAGGTGGAAGCCTCCGCTTTCAGTTGTCCCCCCCCCTACAGTGCTGCTATTGCCAGTATCACTCCACCCCGTTAACAATAGGTGTTAATTAGGTGTCAACGATAGCCATGTGATGTGAGTATCAGTCACATGGAGGCAGGGCTTAAAAGCCTGAATTTTGCCTGAAACTCTCAGACTGAAGAAGTCTCTTGGAGGAGAGACGAAACGTTTCATTAGAGAAGAACCCGTCCAGAGGACCTATACAATTTTTTTCTTTTTGATTTTTTACCTGGATTACTGAGATGCATCAGGACATTCAAAGCAACTCGTTTTGATGCTGTCTCTTTACATGCAAACGAGGCACTTCACATCCTGCCCCCCTCCAGCTTCCAGACCGGTCCATTCTAGTGTAATTGAGGGGTTTACGGCTATATAGCGACGCAGAAACTTTGTATTTAGAAGTCAATTAAAAGATGTCAACAGGGGAAGACTTGTCCATCCAGCCTTGGAGCCCAGAGCCAGAGGAGAATGAAGACAAAGAAATTGTTTATTTGGTAAGTTCAGACCTGATTTAGAAGTTGTGTCTGTGATGTAATATTTCAGGAAATCTCACAGAGAATGGAGAAAACTGACCGGGTTGAAAAACAATATAAAAAGGTATCCAACGAGAAACTAAATTCAACTTTTCTGCACTCCGATAGACTCCAAGTACACAACAAAATGCCTTTAACGGCTAAAAAAAAGTGCATTCATCCCCTTTAAATGAAACAGGGTGATATGTGTGTTCACTTAAACTCTCCTAGTAAAAGGAGTTTTAAAGAACTGCCGGTGAGTCTCACTCAACCAAATTCCTTCAGAAACCCTCACTCACCATGTCAAATCAGACCACCCTGCWGGATGAAAAGTTGCCTTTCAACAGAACAAGACGACCATTTCCACTCTGCTCACGTTTAAAACTGGCATCAACCTGTTTCTGAAGAGGTGCAGGGCTGACAAAAAAAATAGATAAATAAAAAAAATGTAAGTTTTGCTTTTCGGTTGCAGGACAAGGTGAAGATGCTGTGAATTGCAGGAAGTGTGTTAATGAGTGATCTGCTGAACATAAAAATAGAGAATAAAATTTGAGCCTTTTTCTCTGGTTTGTCCATGTCCTCCCGCCTCTGTAAGGACTGCCTTTGAGCAGGACACCTGAATAAATTGTGTTATTTATTTTTGACATGACTGAGGAAGGTACTGAAAAAACGGGTATGTGAGCTTACCGAGAATAAAAGTCATTAACGCTCCCCCAGCTGCAGGTTTTAGATGCTCGCTCTTTCTGATCACAGGTAAGAACAAGAGGACATGACAGATCCAGATTAATGTCCTCRCTGCTGGCGGGACAGGAGTCCTGAGTTATGGGTTTAGTGGAGACTGGGAGCTGAGTTTGGTGTTATCCAGCACCAGAGGAATGAGACAGCTGAGAGCCCTCCTGACGGTGTCACACAAACACACATGCAGGTTTGTTTTTAAATCCCCATGGGGACCATGGACTGACTTCCATTCATTTTCTAGTAATTTTATAGCCTAACCCTGACCATTTACTCTAAAATTTAATCTCACAGATTAACACTAACCTAAACTCAAACTTTGGTCCTAAACCTAATCCCCACCCGAAATTAGCATCCGTGCCCATGGAGGCTGCCTTTTTCTGGAAAATGGTTCCCACGATGTAGCAAAAACGTGCCTGCACACAGACGTTTGATCTTCTATCCTCATGGGGACTTTACATTGACTACCATTCATTCAATGGTCATTTTGATAGCCTGACTCTGAGCCTAAACCTAACCTAAACTTAATTCACACATTAGTTCTAAATCAAACCCAATGGGGACTAGGATTTTGTCCCTATAAGGAACAGTTTATCCTTCTCACCTGACAGATTAAATAGTCATTAATAGTCCCCACCGTGTAGCAAAAACGTGAACACAAACACACACAGAGTGCTTTGTTGGCTGAGCACCGAGGCCACATGGCTACATGGTGAAAGACCCGCTGACAGCTGGGGGACCAGAGGATGTCATGAAAACAAGGGGGGCAGCTGATTGTGGGTCATGGCGACAGGGCTGCTAAGACATGGGTGTGACCACTAATCTAAAACAGTTTTTAACAAAGATTGTAGGGCATACATATAAGCAAAGTTTCTCTGCACAAAAAAAAAGCCCACGTGAAGAAATAAATCATCTCGTTGACTAGTTGTACACTAAGAAAGTTTAATTTTATGCAAGTTTATCAAATCCTGACATGAAGATCTGAGCATCTTCAGGCTCAGTTTCCCTAAAATCAGAAGAACAGCTTTGTCTGATGGATTTATGAATGCAAGTAGAACTACAGAACAGCACTACAGAGTTGGTAGAAGTGAGAAGTTGAAACAGACGGAGTCATACACGTTCTGCTGATGCTACTAGTGGTCATAAAAATATGCAGCTGTGAGGAAACTTTTTATAGCAAATGCATGAATATCACGTTATCAATAAAGCTTATAAAATTGATAACAATATAAATACCTTATGTACAGCAAATGTTAAGAAAAGCAAGTAGATTTTCCACATTTCAGAGCTGAAGACTGACATGATTTCTACTTTCCACAATGTTTCAAAGTGATTTTAAAAATAACCTCTGAACGCTTGATGCAAGTCCCAACGATTAGAATGAAGTTAAGAGGTAGCAGCGGATTTGGGATTTCTCACAACATTTAGACATTTTCCTGTCTGCTTCTGCCTTAATGGTATTGTGGACTAGGCATGGGCCGGATACCGGTTTCACATTTCCCCAATGTAAAAAAAGTCACTTTGTCGAAACTGCTAAAATTTTCTGTCACGCCGTTCTTGCGGTATAAGCTTTTTTTTATGTCTCGTAAGAAAGTGGAAGTGAAATCCCTCAGGTTGTGTTCAACTGCAGAGTAAAGACCCCTCCCTCCCACACACCCCTGCATTAGCTGCCAGCTCTGCAGGTTGAGTTTCCCAAAAATTTTTCTGTTTAAAAGAATAAAGCTTAAGCTGAGCAGCTCTTTAGCTGAACACACAATTTATACAGCCTGATACTTATACTGTAACTTCTGTTGTTTAATGATTTGTTATCTTCTTTATATCAAACACCCCTTCCAAATCGAAAACACAATAAATATGATGCATTAACTCAATAAACAACGACTTGCTGCTCAGTATACCTGATTTCTCTCATCTTTTAAAAGCAGTAAAAAGTAGTTATCTTATTAGATGTAAATTTTATTATTATAGCTTCATTGTGTTAGGTAAGTATGAACACATGTTAGAGGAATGAAATTTCAGCATTACACGTGATTTAAAAACAGCTTATAAAGATAATTAAAGTTGACTATGACAATAGAAATGTTCTTTTCTTTTTTTGTTTTTAAATACCAATTTCAAAATAACACCTTTTAGAACTGTAATCATAATACTGTGATCCCGCAAAACCATGATATTTTTGTCTAAGGCTATCATTTAGTCAGACTTTCATACCGGCCCATGCCTATTGTGAATATACATTTTTTTTCCATTTTTAAGCTTCACAAACCCATTTGACAGCTTGCTTTAAATACTTACACACCCATGAATGCACTTCCAAGTGGTTTTTTTAACAGACACCAGTGTTGTGACACTCGGATGCAAACAGTCAAACTTTAGCAATGTTCACTCAGTCATAGTTTGGACACAGATTTTTAATACATATTGCTCTCTTGTCACTTCTATTCCTTCATATGTTTTCATCTTTACGTCACAACTTCCTACTTTTGTCCCACCATTTGATTTAGTGGTCTGGGAAGGGTTGTTAATCTGAAGGTGTTCCTTCGTTCTTCTTGTTGAGCCTCGTCAGAACTCTCCATCCCGTCCTGCTGCCCCGTGGTCCTGAATCTCTGATCTGCTGCGTRACCAGCTTTTTGATAATACTGGTTCACACCATTTCAGCACAGAGCGGATCCTCCACCCCGTGTCCTGAGTCCGCCACAGTTCCTGTGCATGACCAGCAGCACAGTGTCCGATCAGGAAGTTTCCTGCAGTCAGTGTCTGCTGGTCCGGGTCAGGTTCTGTGGGACTTCAGGAGAGCCGAGCCATCCCGTCCCAGACAAGACTGAAATTCAAGACTGGTAAAAGTGGTGGTAGTGGTGGTGGTGTTCATGATGGTGGTGATGCTCATGCCGCTGCACCACTTGTGCCAGCCCACCTTCGTACAGCACCACACTGGGGAGGTCTCTCACCTGTTCTTTYTCCACCACTGGACCTGGGGATACAAGCGAGCCCAAGGCCCGGTAGCCGTGGCTGTCTTTTCTTTGTTTGTGTTTGCGGTAGGGCGCTGCGGACTGATGGGGTGGGATCTGAGTGGGAAGAGCCGGGGGCGGGGGAGCACCTCGGCTCCTCATCACACGACCGCCGGTCTGCGCTGGAGGCGTGCGGCTGTGGGTCTTCGGAGAACGGATGGCGTGTCGCCCTGAGTCTTGGCCTTTGAGGCGGGCAGGATGGAGGCCGGAGTCTGGAGTGGCCGTGTCAAGGACCGTCTGCAAACGACGGTGGTGGGAGTGGGAGTGGCCGTTCTCTGGTTCATGGGAGCGAGACCGAGCCTGGTTAGATGAGCGGGTCTGAGTCTCCACTTTAACTGGCTCTGCAGCAGGAGCTGAAACATATACATGGACGCAGATAAGTACTTTAAACAATTACCAACAAAACGTATCTAATATTAAAATGTCTTATATGTGCACTGAAAACCATGACAAACTGAGCAAACCAGATGAACAAAACTACATCTAGCAGCTTTGCTTCCTGTGTGCTCGTCTTGTATAATTTCAAAAATGTCATGATTTTATTTGAGCAACAAAGAAAATATGTTCTTATAATGTAAAGATGAGATTTATTTTCTTCCTCTGAGCTTCCGGTCATGTGCACAGTTCAAATGACACTTTAAGTGTGTTTGAGTGTGTCACCAGTGCTATATTAAAGCTCTGCAGAATCTCATTTCTGGATCTTTCCTTGCACAGATAACCCAGACATGTCGCAGAGCTGAACCCTGTTAGCACTTCCTTACCAAAACTAAAACATGACATGACTGAACTGCAGCTTTAGTGTGAATGTTTATAAAACAAATAATTTATTCTATCATGTTTTTCAGCACATATCTTGTTTCGCATTTTTTTGAGGTATTTCAACAATTTATATATCAAAACGTTCAGCTCCTTCAGGATGTTCTGGCTATGACTTTTAGTTCCTTAGTAATTTATAGTTTTGAGACATTTAGCTTTTTCTGTAATGTTTTTCTTATTGAAAATTAATGGAGCTGTTTTCAACATCCATAAAACTCTTCAAAATGTTCATATTTATCTTTGACCTTTTCTTCTAGTTCTGTTTTTTCAACTGCTTTGTAAAAATGTAAGTTCCTTTGACTTCTATTTTGCTTATTTTAGCTTTTTTAGCTATCATTCTGACCTTTTCTGCAATTCTTTAAATTTCACTTTTATGCTTCTTTTAGCTTTTTTCTTCTAATTTCAGCAGTTTTTTTCCTATATTTTTAGCTATTTGGGCTTTTTTCAGCTAATTTCACCTTTTAATGATAATTTCAGCTTCATACTGCTTACACTGTAAAAAATGAAATGTTGGATTTACTTAACCATGTTATGTTACCTGGTTCCACTTAACTGAGTTGAGTAAATTCCAAGAAATAGTATATCAGTTTTTAACCAAAGAACATGAGTATATTGCTTTGAATTTACTCAACTCAGTTAAGTGGAACCAGGTAACATAACATGGTTAAGTAAATCCAACATTTCATTTTTAAAGTGTAGCTATTCAGCAAAAATCTTTCAGCATTAAGCATTCACACTGCGTTTTCTTAGGAAATGCACATTATCTAGTTAAAGACTAAAACTTCACAACAACTTGTTTAGATGAGTTTTTTGTCTTGAACACTTAACGTATTGTGCTCGCTCGCCTGAGCCCAGATGTTTGTTCTGGCAAGGAACACGTAGTTCCACCTAACGGCTCAAAGCAGGTGCCGCAGTAATGAGTGGCCCTGGACGGCTCTTCAAACAGCCACGGTCTGCTCGCCTCCCTCCCCTCACCCCTGTCTGGCCCCGGTCCACTCACCGGCTCCAAAGCGGGATGTGTAGTTTTCGATCCCTGCCAGGTCCAAGTAGTGGTTCCTGCGTTCCAGGTTCTCATCCACACAGTGGCGCTGGCAGCCAGGCTGGGTGTGGTGGTCACTGTGGTGGCGCCTGCGGACACAAGCGGCACCTCTCATTAGAAGACAGTTTGAGAAAAATAAACAAGTGTTGCTTGTGATCGGGCAGAGGCACAGTAATTGTTGGGAGTATTAAAATTTAGGATAGCAAAAAAAAAAAAAATCACAGATTTGAACTCCCACTGGAAATGTAAATTCTGTCAGTTTAAGAAGTGAAAGGTAGAAAAGAAAAATTCTCTCTGAGCACAATATAAACACCCGAGACAAAAGTTTACAGAGGTGTTGGGTTTACCTTAGGAGTGCTCGAGACTTCTTGTCTGCACTCTTGGGGTCGTCGATGCACTTGTCATTCTTTTCTCTGGAGTGGGACATGTCTGTGTACGCACAAAAAGACAGGAGGCTATTATCAAACAGTGCAACACAAAGCAGCCACACTCACACACATACGCACAACAACAGTCACATAAGACTTAGAAGAAAGCAACCTTTGTTTAACGGGTTTCACTTTGAAGATCTCTAGACAAGGAAAAACAACAGTGCTTCATTTATTCTATTTTCAACTCCCATCTTCTTATAAGGAGTGGAATAACATTAAAAAACCACGCAGGCTTCAGAAATAGTTTTATTAGGACGTGAGATGTGATGCGACTTGAAATTAGCATGAAGGCAATACTTTCAAAGCTTGCTCTGTTTGGATCTCTTGATAGATATTTATAGCCAAAACAATAAGACACAAAACACACAGAACATATACATATACATATACATATTCATACTTCCATACACCCTCACTGACCATCAGAAACCCCAGAATCTGCACACCAGTTTATGTGCAGTTGTGAATGTGCATGTATATACAGATTTCTACAATGGAATATGTAATAGTGACTGTGGAGACCCAAAGACCCGAAGCAGACATAAGGGAGACCAGTGCCGAAGACCCCGAGAGTGACTCCAAGCGCGGAGTCCCCAGGGGCACCAGTGCAGAAAGAGCCGCCCCATACCC